ATAATATAATTCCTGATCTTGCTTCGTCATATTATTTAAGACTATTAATAAGCGGATTAAATCTTTTCAATTTTTGTTCAAAGCATTTTGATGTGGATTCTTAACGAAACCTAACATCTCGAACCTATCTGGGCTTAATGACGTTTTTACGTTACCAGGTGCAAAACAACGACTAAAATCTGGCAAAGAATCCAATTCCGCAAATGAACGAAGACGAATCTCATTTCTGGAGTCTCTTAAATTCGTTTTACGGGGCAATACGTTCTCTAAATGAAATCACCCGTAGGGAGATAAATTCCGGCATAAAAATTCTCGTTTGTCTTGTAATAACGTTATTTATGTATTACGCTCTGGAAAGAAAATTTTATTTTATAATCCACCGATAGCGGTGGCCTGAAGAGATTTAACAAAAACTGATTCCCCTTAATTTATAAAATTCGTGGCATCGAGAGATTTACGAAGGCGGTATAATATTGATTGATATATTAATTTTTTTCAAAACGAATATAGAATTTTCATGTCATGTCAATTTTGTTCTAACTGCAATTATAGAGGTAACAAAGAGGTCTCACGGGTATTGATGCCTGAACATGGTGAATCGTAAGGACACGAAAAAGCCAGAAGAAGAGCAGAGGCGCTATAGATATATAGATGGATAAGCAGCGGAAACTCGCTCATACTGGCTGTGACTTCTGGGATTAGAATGCTGAGGTATGTTATGTCTGGACGATGAGGAAACGACAGAGAACGTATTGTGCACATACCGGAAAGGGGAAGAATCAGGTTTGCAAAATTGGGGGCTGAAGTGCTTAAAGTAAAGGGTATGCCGCAATAAATCCTCAGGTCACACACAAATACATTCTACTATGTTATGAATGATCGAGAATATACACACTGTATCACTCTATATAGTAACTTAATAAGTGAGTGTAATTCACAAGCAACAATGACTACCAAAAATGAGGACTATCGCTTATTCATTATAAGAGTATTGATGGGATGATTTTAATGTATACACACACAGCTCAATACATTTTTTAAGGATTCAATTTTATTTTGTATTTTCATTTCTTTTAACTAGATAAATTCTACCTCCCAACATTTGCAGATAAATCCAGTTAACACAAAAAAGTAAATATTTGAAAAGTAGAATTAATTAACACAAATCAATGGAAGAAAAGAAAGAAAGAAACTGATGGTTGCGAATATTAATTTTAAATTAAGTATTAAATAATTAACTAATAATTATTAAATTGTTAGCGTAAAACATATTTTACCTTTAAAATTTTTTTTTCAGATTCTTTTCCTGACAAAGCAAGCTAAAATTTCAATTAAAATTTTAGTTGCATTAATCAAAAAGCAGTTTTCGAATGATAAAAGCTAAGCCACTTCAAGATAATTTATGACAGACAATTTTTTTCTATGTTTAGAACCTAAATGGACAATTAAATATAAATTATATATATCGACATAATCGGCCTTTATGCCTGTCTCTTTGTGGGATGTAATACTCTCATATTCAATGGGGTAATATTTTCCAGGAAAAATGTTAAATATAGAATTCCACTATTACTATATGAGGAACTATTCAATTATTTAGATTGTTCTATGGGGGCCACGAAATAAAAAAATGTGCTCCTTTCTTTATTCATCACCACATAGTTGCCCAATACTACAATGGCCATCAATCCTTAATGATGGAAAAAACCTAAGACAAACATACTATGTCTATTTTTTCCAGACAACCTACAGAACTGTTACATACATGCAAAGATTATTGTTTAACGTAAATATAAACAAAGATAGGTGTTGGTATTTGTGAATAAATATTAACAAAATTTATTTAAAATATAATACTTTCAATACGCCCCTCTGTCCAGTTTTATTATCTGACTGACGAAAAATTTATTAGAATAAAATCTTTTCACTCCCTTATGCTTCTACATAAGCCAGCAATTAGAATTGCATGTGCCAGTGCATCCATGCAATCCGGTCGATTAAAGGAATGAAACTGGAATCTAAACTCACCGCACACATATTGTTCCGACGAGTCTCCGGCATGTGAAAAATTACTTCCTACAATATACTCTAGTTCCTGAATGTTCTGAGAAATTCCTTTTGTTTTCCGCATTCTCATTTCTACGAATGGCTTTTCCGGAAAATTTATGACGTCGCCCGATTTTTCCTGAATGCTGTATGTGTCACTCTAATAAGTCTTATTCAAATCGGGCACCGATGATAGAGTATGAACTATAGCAATCGTAGATAAATTGAATTATTAAGTAAATAATAAGTTAATGAAAGAATAATGCATCATACTTTATGTTCAAAAAGCATTCGACAAAAAGGGATCACATTATTTCGTACAAATCAGTAAAATTATTTTATAAAATTTTGACTAAGCTTAGCATAACCATGTAAATGAAAATACATGTTGATGATGCGTGATGTGTTAGATATGAGATTTCATTTTGACGTTCCGAAGGCACGGGTGAAAATCATTTTCTTAGACTTCTCGAGTCTAGGTTTACGTGTTAATCGACGACTAGATAGTCGCGCCCTCGAAAGCTTAACACAATTGAGTATTAAATATGGAGCAGGAAGCCCTTAAAAACTTTATAGGATTCAGCTTATATCACTTATTGACGAGCATTATTTAAATGAGTAGAAAAGTGAAGGATGCTATCTAGGGCAAATCCTCTATTTTGAGCATTGGATAGGACCTCTTGATCTAGGAAAGGAAATGACTTTGCATTTTGAAAGTTAAAGGTTCATGCCTTTTCTGTAACAACAATCAACTAAGTTATTAAGGATATATTGGAAAAATGAAGATTGTTTTTAGAAATATTATTTTTCTAAATGTTTTTGACTGTTAATTTTTATTGGCTTATTAAGCGTTTAATTTCTATTATTATAGGCTCGCGATACCAGTTCTCACATTATTAAACACACAACAAAGTAGCATTACATTTCAAGAATGTCTGGCTTAATGACAACAGTTATCGATCGAAATTTAAAAAAATGCGGCAGAATGTACGTCGAATATTAAGCGAAAAGCCACCACGGTTCTGTAACAGGTAGCTGACGCAAGGATAATTTCCGATAGGGTCAGCACACATTATTTGGATATCGAAAATTACCGATTGAGCGTTTCGAGGCCCAATGCGCAATCCAAAATATTGAATTCGAAAATGTTATGAATTTTTGTGAGAATCGTTATCGGATAATACTGTGCTTTAACAAGGTACAGTTGGATACTTTTCTTCATTAACAAGAAAAAAAAATGCCATTTAAATTAAAAGTTAAAGTATTTTGCAAGTAATGGAGTATTTTGCAAAAAAAATTATTCAGTGGGCAAATGGGATATAAAACCCATTGAAAAAAGGGCTGCTAATGTAAAGCTCTATACAGGGTGTTATTGAAATTACATCACATAACATAACGAATGAATCTCAAAGTGGAGGGACAAATGGAAAAATTGCACGTTATTATTGTTACGGCCAAGAATTCCAGAAAAATTGCTAAAAAAAATGATACAAAATGCTTGTCTTGCCGCTGGATCTTTCGGCAGTATGAAATAATAGCAGCGAAATGTCAGGTGATAAGGTTGGGTGCTGAATTGCCCTGTAAGCTCGAATTTAATAAATAAAAATATGAAAAATGCTGTTTCAGCGGACTTGTTATTTTTAATTTTTAGCACTTTGTTTCAAAATTAGTGTGAACATAATTTGTTAAATACCTTGTTTGTTCGCCAATACTTTAATCTCAAATTACAAAAAAAAGTGACTAAATCACTCGAGAATTCACTATTTTCAAAAACATATACATGTTCTATACACTACACACCGTAAGTCACAGTTTCATTATTTAGTCTGCAGTTAATAGCGAATATTTTAACCTTTAATTGTAGTCTTTGCTACACCAACTGCCAAAACTTATAGTTCATGATTTTCCATTGGAGTATTTTCCTTCGTTATGTTGTATGAAATTTCTATCAAAATAGTAGTACAGTATCGTTGAAAATGCAAAATAAACTCTGACTGATTCATAAATACGTTTAGTTGTTATGTGGAAACAAACAAATTGTCTCAATCTTTTATTGGATAATTTTCTTATTAGTTAGTAAACCACAACTGTTAGATTGTGTATGGTTAAATGCTTTGTAAGTGTAGAGTGAGAAACTGTCAACCTCTTTAAGCGATATTTGGGATGAAGACATTGTAAAATTACATCGGGTAAGTTGTCAATCCTGCAGATATAAAGATTAATTTGAAACCCCATTTCTTGATTATCGTCCAACTTAAGAACCAGCAAAGGTTTTTGCTGATTGTTACTGATTGATATCCGTACAGTGTGTACAGTTTGTAAACAAAAAATAACCTGAGTCAAAATAACAATATACCTAAATGTTATTATTGGTTAGTTTCGTACCATAACCAATCAGGGCGTTTTTCGAAATTGAAATGAAATATTTGTCACAAACATTTTGATATCCATCGCGATTGTCAATCTGACAGTGAGAAGCCCGATTGTGGTTATAGTGGTCCTGTTGGAAGAAAAAATAGCAGATATTGTATAATATTCAATATTTTTGTTAGTGGGATCGATACTGGCTCGATCTAGCTTTTTCTGATTTCTCCCGTTCTTGAAAACTAAAACACCCTATATGTTGGAAACGAGTCAATTTAAGAGATACGAACCTTATTTTCATATAAAATCACTTCCTTTCAATTGAATAAAAAACCTGATCCAACCTGTACAGGAATGGGAAACATTCCAAAAGTTAAAACGGTAAAATGTAAAAAGCGTTCGTTTTATACGAGGCGACTGTTGGTCCCCGTTCTTAGCCCACATTAATAGTTTTTATCGATTGAATATTAAATTCGACGAATGTATGTCCATTACTTAAATGGACACACTGTTCACTATAACATATCGACATTAATTTCACTAGAAAAAGTAACTCTAATTAATCAAACCCCCTTCAGACCAACACTTACCCATTTTTTTGTAATTAATGCCGTATCGCGCCCCCTTTGCCGCTCTTGTTTTTCAAATATAAGCGGGGGAAGCACCACTCCTAACTGGCAGCACAAGGAAAATAAAAATTTTAAATTGGTACGATTGATATGTCAAAAAGTATGTGTGACGTTATTCGGTTATCTTTTCTGTTAAGTGTTTACCGCGTACTTGATGCTTGTTTACACTGACAATTGAAAGATGGTCTGCCCGGTGGTCATGTGACCATCCGCATGCGATCGTCGCGGAACAACTGACTAATCGCGAGAGTAGAAACTATACGGAGTCGACGCTGGCTTTCGGGGGGCGCTTCGACGTCTGGCGTCCCGACGTCGCTCAGAATGAAATTTTTAACTACCTGCGAAGCTGAGTTACGTACGAAAAACACGAGGAACCTTTGTCAAAACAAAAGGGGGAAAACGGAGGCTGCCAAAAACCCGCTCGTCGGTACCAATACTCCTTGGTGGTAGTGGTCCTCTGCTTAACAGTTAAAATTAAATGTGGTCGTTCTATTTCGCCGCATTTCTAATTAATTTCGATGTTATATACAGTGTGTCCCACTTAAGAACTGTACATCCTTGTAAAATCTTTGTTTATGGTTCGATTTTGTTTTTTTTTTTTAATAGGTCTCTGAAAAATGCACTAAAGCCTTGTTTTCCCTATTGCCTCAACTTAAAGTCATGCCCAACTGATACTATTTAATAAAAGAGAAAAAGAGAGAAGTACTATTAGGAATTTTTTAAAAAATAAATTGGCAACGAATTCTTATTCAGAATTATTTAAAACCTAACTAAAACACTAAAAGCTTATGTTTCATATTACATCAAACTGAAGTCATGCCCAACTGCCACTAATTTTTAAATGTTAAGTATGGAGAAGGGCTATTAGGGCTTTCTTTAACGAATTCTTATTGAGGACTATGTAAAACCTAACTATACTAATTTCCATGAAGTTCCAATACAGGGTGCTCGAAATATCGGCGCCTCGCTTAAGAATCTATGGCTCAATTTTGATGATTCTTTTTTGTTGGATAGATTTCACTGAGAGACACTAACGATTTTCTTAAAATTAAATATGATCAGAGAGGATTAGATATGAACTCAACAGAATTTGCAACGCTCAATTTTTTTAATTAAAAAGAATTTTTAATTCTTATCTAATAATGAAAATAAAATAAATATCAAAATTGATTGACGTCGGCATACTTTTTGCTTTGTAAAACCAAATTTACCACGAAGAAGCAAAGAGGCGAGTGTGAAATTGACTCGCTAATTTTTTATATTGTTTACGCCTTTCGAATTTATTAATGTTATTGTTTTAACACCATATTAAAAAATAAATGTCCCTTAAAAAGTCTTTCTTTTTATTGATTTTGAAATTTGTATAATCAAAATTTGTAAGACCTTAAAATCACATACAAAATAATCGTTATTTACAGGGTTTACAATATTAATTTTTTTAAAACATTAAAAACTTTGATCATTGGTATAGTTACTTTTAGCTAGGCCTGAATACGAATCTGTTGTCATTTTAAATTTTAAAAAATCTCGAAAAGTACTTCCGCTTCAAAAAACTGTGTCGGTTAGCCATGACTTTAGTCGATGCTGCATGAAAAAACCGTTTCATTTCTCTTTAGTAGTGCTTAAGCACGGCGCCCGCTATATTTCGAGCTCCCTGTATTCAAACTTCATGGAAATTAGTATAGTTGAGTTTTATGTAGTCCTGAATAAGAATCCCTGATAGCCCTTCGCAACATTTGACATAAAAAATTAGTCCCAATTAGCCATGACCTCAAGTACATTTGATAAGAAACATAAGGATTTAGTGCGTTTTTGAGAAATCTATTAGAAAAAAAATTATCAAAATCAAACCGTAATCAAAGATTTTACAACGATGTTACACGCTTAAGCGGGGCCGAAACGATATTTCAAACACCCTGTATTGAAGCAATTATAAACATGGTATATAAATATGTGTAACTTGTTTTATGACTTCGTACCTTAACTTATTAAATAAGCGTGTTTCGCTGCTCCCGTGTTCCGATTAAACGGAAGGTTCCACAAACTGAAACAGTCATAGCTACCTTGGATATTTAGATAAATAAAATGTTGCATTTTTAGACACCATTTGCAGTTCGTTTATGCATTTACTTATCAAAAAGTGGAAACTGGTCTGTATAGCTTGTTTTATTAATGATCCAGTGGCTTTGAAAGTTTTCTTGTAAAACTCACAAATTTTGATATTTACATACTAAACTAGTGTTTTTTTTAGGAGCGAACGCAGTATGCGTCTTTTAATAGTTTTATTAGGCTTATTTAGAGTTTTTTGAAAATGCACACAAGTTTAATTTGTAACTAACCAAAACTGTGTATAATAAATTAAAAAACTTTATTATTCGTGGCCTACTCACAAAAAATAGATATATTGTATGATATATATTTGAAACAGCTCTTATATATTTTGGAAAAGAAAAAAAACACAAGTTTAGATTATATATCAAAATTTGTGTGTTTCAGAAGAAAACTGACTACGCCATTGGAGCCTATGGATTAGTTTTCAATTTTTTTATAAGTTTATGCATAACAGACATACAAAGGGTGAGTTATATCAAAACACTGATGCAATGTTTTCTAGTTTCCAAGGTTTTGTTAGTAAGTTAAATAAATGTGCAAGTCGGACACACTGCCTTATAATTTCTTCCAGCTGATCAATATCGCGGAATAGTTTGTGTTTGTAGACTAATTCCTATAAATGAGCCAACAAAAAGATTTAGTGGTTTAATGTTCCCAATGACCTACTTCTGAACGGCGCTCTATCCATTTTTGTGAGAAAGTTATATACAAAAATATTTTTACCCCGGCTGCGCTGTGACAAGGAGGTCCACCATCTTGATACCTAAGAGCCTGTCGCGCGTTTAGTTCCGGAAAAAATATGGAAATACTATTTGGTTCTTTAAAATACCGTATCAATTCGTTTTGAAATACAGCATTCCATTAAGAAATTAGGGTTCACATCGCTTCACCATCGACAATTCTGGAAACGCACAACATTAGAAGTAAATGTTGTCTTGTCACTGAGTAAATTTCTCCTTGAAAAGAAAATGTCGTTTTCAACTTGAAAACAAACACGGAAAATTAAAACGCGAGTCCATATCTTCAGGTTTGGGCGTGTGTATAAATTTTGGCTTATACGCATAGAATTGATTTATTCTAACCACCTTACTAGCAGAATCTCTTGTCACGTTACCTCAAACTATGTTCTTTATTATTATATTATTAGAAGCCTACTTGTCCAGAAATACTTATTGCCAAATAACTCGAAAGGACACAAATTAAGCTATAGAAACGTGGTTTTAGCCCAAACGCAGCCGCTTTGGTGCTTTTGTAAAATTGCAATTTTGAAAAAAAGTTTTGCCTAAATTATGGAGGGATTTTGGCGTGTCACAGTTTTGCAGCTCATATAGAGCAACATCAGTCGTTATGAAATTCTAATCTTAAGAAAATGAAAGATACTTACGGCTATAATATCTTTGGCGATTTTCTAGATATTACTAAATTATCAGTACGCTGAGTATTAGTTATGGGTAGAGTAATGTCCTCTGCACTGCATACGGTGTTTCAAAAATCATTGCGATATAAAAAAATATTTTCTATCGTATTATTTTGATACATTTTTGTATAGTCTTGAAATGTCGTGAAATATTCGAACACGAAAGTGAACCATTTCGGGGTTGTGCAGCGTAATGCATTGACAAACGCTCTTATTGAAAGAGTGAACAAAAAGAATTGAACTGAAAGCGTTTCTTAGTCGCGTTAATTAGTTGCAGGCGGTACAATATATAAAATTACCGTCGCAACTCGACGCAGAAAATTAAACTTAGTTTTAACATTTTCAATTTTCTCTTTCAGTTTAGTGCTGCTACGTTGACAACTACGTAGTTGGGTCCGCAAAACTTTGAACCTTGCGAATTTGGCACAATACATACCACTTAAAAATTATATTTTTGCATTTTGTTATTTTGTTATTTTAGAATTTATACTGGCTGAAGGCTGCCAGTGTTAAAAAAATACATGTTTGCCAAGAAACAACGGAAAATTTTTTCCAATTGCCGCAGCTTAATCGAAATGCAAAATTTGATTGCACCGTTCTCTTCTATGCCGCATTATATCGTAGAAGAAATTATTCCCTACGGACAATTCACTCTGATATTTTAAACAAACGGAAACGACAAGGAAAATTTCATGGTATTTCCAAGAGGCGGTAGTTCCTCGGTACAGACGCTTACTGCTTGCATTAGTACATCACAAATATGACAAATATAATAATTTCTCATCATTTCTCGTCCCTGGAATAGTTTCAGCATGAATGTTATACTTACAGACGGATTAAATTTTTGTCGTTATCTGTATGGGAAGAATTATCGCTTCCCTTCCCAAAAGTATAAGTACTTTTCAATATTTGCTACTAAACGCACCTACAGCTTCGATTAAATTCGGGTATTTTTACGGTTTTGTTCGATTCTCAGCATTAATTGAATCGCTTGCGATCAAATTTATGTTTTTTAGTTTCCGTCTGTCTTTTTTATTTGTTTTGATTCGGAAATGCAACAAATTGGTTCCACAGAGGAATCTTCATCATATTTTCCATTCAACTTTCCAAAAAAAAAGTAGTTAATTTCAAGCTTATTTTTACCAAGTAGACTATTATCGTCTGTTACTATATATTTGCTTGTAATTCTAGCAACGATATACAATTTTGGTAAATACTTTCGCTTATCAATAGTCCACCCATCCCTCACCGGTGAGCAGACCTCTACAGACAGTTTTTGAAGCCAAGAATGTAAAGTTAGTTAGTTTATCCCACAGTATAGAAGCTCGCACCGATGACATCACTGTATTCTGTACTGCATTTCTTGGTATTATTCTCCTTGAACTTGAATGTCAATTGGAGCTTCGCGTTAATTATTGAATTCATATTAAGGTGATAAATATTGATAAATATGCATTTACAACGCATTAGTGTAGTAGAATCGATTATGTCAAGGGCGGCTAAGTTTATTATTTTCGCTCGGCCGGAAGTTAGTTTAGTAATACTAATATAATTATTGGTAAATATTTGTCAGTTTTGTGAGTATCTGGATCTGTGTGTGTGTCCTGATGTAACTGATTTATTTCAAGGGATATATAGTAAGGTGTTTTCGAGTAGCTAATCAAACATGTCGCAGACAAATTTTCTGTTTTTGAGAGAACTGTAAATGCAAAAATTGTGGCTTTTGTTGTAT